CAGGGAGAAACGAGGTTCTTAATTTAGTCTAATCAACTGTCATTTGCATCGCGCCATTTGCGCAAGGTATTGCCACTAACTGAATAAATGGACTTCTTCAGACTCAAGGGGGGGCACTCCGGTTTTGATAAGCTGGCAACATAACTGATTTGCATATATTACTTTGATTATCTCATTACTAGGATGATTCTTGCGGAATTTTTGACACTCGCGCAATCGAATTAAAATTAAGGCACGCAATCAATAAAAGGGCAACGCGGCTGTGAAAACACAAAGCACCCCAGGTTTGTATGGTCAACTAGCGATGATGATGATGATGGCACGGTGGTTATGGTGATGATGAGGCAGATGATGATGGTCAGGATGATGATGATGATGATGACCTCTTCAGCTCACGAGCTCCCGGACCCTGCAGTAGGTTTACGAGAGTCTCAGGCTCTTGATTCCTGTGATCAAAGCAGTAATCAGTGGAGACAATGGGGGCTGTGAAATTGCCGCTCTCGTGTGGGTGACCTATCCACCTGCCATGAATCCAAGAGTGGCCCGCAGGCGGCTCATGTTGCCGCAATCGATAATAGCGCTCACATCTTTCCTCCAACTCAACCCATCTGTGGAATGATGAAATCATGCGTAAAGACGCGCAGGCCTCGAATAATTTTGCAACACGGTCGCCACAATAACCTGGTACACGGTCGGAAAAAGATACAGCCACGAGGGCCATCAATTCAGCTGAACTCCAGAGTATAATCAGATATCATCTGTACACCCCAAAACCTTCAAACCTGGACTGATGAATGAGCTTAAATATTATATTTACTGTATGGTTTGATTCCAGTTAACAACCGACATCTCTCCCAAATTCGTTGTCTTTGCGTGACAAAATCTTTAATACTACAACATGACAAGTGGCTCATTTGTTGCCACACACAATTTGTTTGAGGGAAGAAGATTTGGAACTCCTTCCCTCCTCTCCTAATAGACTCTCACTCGTCTGCACACTAACCGGGAGCAAAGGCACACGTCCACGTTTTAAATTCGTGATGTAAATAATTATAGGCCTGGAAATTGATTTCCTTACCACCTTCTCCAGCAAACGAGGCCCCCGAAATCACCCCCAAAGAAAGCTACTTCTGTTGAAGCATTAAGTCATTAATTATTTTCCTTACATAAGGACAAATTATCGAGTCAGTTGAACGAAATTAGAACCCTTTGTTTCTGATCAGACCGCATTACCGCTGGAAATTACGGATGATGGCTGCGTGCGCGCTCGCCTTTGTTGTTTCGATCATCGCCTGTCGCTCTGAACTCGCGCTAACAAAGTCATTAAATTGACTCCCTCTCGCTCTCATTATGCGGGCTGTTAATAACCGCTAATTAACTTTGCTTACGCGCGCCTTAAAAGCCTCCCTCCCCTCCCAACGCACACTCTCTCTCTCACCCTCTCCTCCCCCCCTTTTCCTTCTTTTCCTGCTTGGCCTCTCGAGCAGAGCAAGTGTCCAATTATGTCAGAGCGCAAGGATGGATGGAGGATGAGTCGTCGTCACCACCGAGGCCAGTTGGTGCATCTCAGAGACGAGTATTTACACGTGTTGCACAGGGGGGCAAACTTGTGGGATAACAGAACAATGACTGCAAATTATCATCCGCTTCCCTGCATGTGCGCATGTAGGATCGGTGTCTCCAATGGGTGCGTGGAGGTTTTTTTTGCATTAAATAAATAACTTTATGTGTACAGGGTCAAAGTGGAAGGTAAACGCAAGGAGCAGTTAGTGGTGGAGATAAGAGGGAACGCGTAATTACGCACTGGATATTGTCTATTTGGATGGTGGAACATGGAGCAACTAAACAGAAACACCAGGGTATGGTGTCGGGGCAACACTCCGTCTTTACATTAAGACTGGCTCTTACCTGTTTGAGCAGTTTCCTATTCCCCCCAGGAGATGGCGCCAGTTGAATGACCTGCATGGCGAAGCACAACCTGCTGGTCCTAAATGATGGACTTCATTAGTATCACTTGCATGGCCTTCGCTGGAGAGGACGAGACGTGCGCTGAAATAGATCAAAGACACCCTTCGTCACACTGGTAAAAATGTATGCACTCACACCGGATTTCTTTCTTTTTTTCTTTTTCTTTTAATTACACAAGGCTTTATACTTACCTGAGTGCGTTTTAAATAAATGGATAAAATAAATATAAAAAAGCGAGAAAGGCCTTTTTTACAGCTTAATACCCAGCAACACCATCCGCGCGTAAAAAGGAACAGAAAGCACACAACCCGGTGCTTCCCCTGGATATTATCAAGTTAGGATGTTATGAAAATACCGGGGAGGCGGTGGTGAGGTGGTGCTGAAACGGAAGGCGGCCTCTTTCCGCCATCTCTTCACCTGCACGTCAAATAGACGGAAAATTGAAAATGTGAAAATTGCGCTCAGGCTATTCCGTCCCCCTCTAATGTATGCGCGTAATTAGTGCATTTAAACAAAGCGCGGATGTCCTGCTGGCTGAAATGGCGGCTGACATCTCTTTTTCCACAGGGTTAATAACAGTGTGCGGATAAATGAATCAAATTGTGGCCCCCAAATTACAGAGCGACTCTAAATACCCGTCTGTATTACGCACGTCTGTTTGTGACCGCGAAGGAAAAAGGCATAACATTTTATATTGTTATTACACTCATTACATTGATTTGCGTGCAAATAAACAAGCTCGGAAGTTTGTGACACCACAAAAAGTTGCAGATAGATTAAATCTGACACCATCCGTGAGGTGACAGCTGCTTATAATACTATGAGGACTGCATATTTAATAAATGGTATTGACTTTGTACTGTCTGATATCAGAAACTTAATGGGGGAAATGCGCAAACACAAAAGGTTAATGCAGTCAGAAAAGCATTATTTTTCCACTTCTGTAAAAAGAACCTATATTGTTAACTTTTTTTTACGAGGCTCTTAAAAGAAAAGAAAAAAAGATCTTGAAAACCAAGTTAGCTCCACTAATACTAAGCGACCTGCACCTTAACTAAACTTTGCAGAGATCAATTGCGCTCTTATTCCAGTTCCAATCACAAAAGGGTCATAAAGCTAAAGCTTAAAAATAGATGAAAGAAGAAAGAAAGAAAAAAAAACTTGTGCAATTTTCTGGACATATATTTTATTGTTATTTTTCGTGTGCTGCGAAGCTCTGGCTGAGCAGATACATAACGGAGGGGAAGAGAGAGGGAGAGAGAGAGAGAGGGGAGAGAGAGGGGAGAGAGTAAATTGCAGCTTGCTGAAGTTTTTGGATTGAATTCTGAAAATGATCCTTTTAACAGTGATGGGCTCTGAGACGAGGATAGGGGTCATGCCATTCACAGCGGGTTAAATAGACTTTCATTTAAAATTACATTCTCGATCCATCTCTCCCTCTCTCCCCCTCTCCACAGCGGAGTCCCTGCGTGCTACCCCGGCTCCCCGTGCGGCGTCTCATCACCGCCGCGCCACCCTCACTTTTTAAGTCAATCCACAACTCCAGCAGAGAGCAGCCAATTGCAGGGAGAGAGGGAGAGCAAGAAAAAGACAGACAGACGGATAGATAGATAAACAGCCAGATAGATAGATAGATAGATAGATAGATAGATAGATAGATAGATAGATAGATAGATAGATAGAAGTGTTTTTCAAAGGTTGCAAACTTGGGCCAAAATTCTGATCCCCGTTTTGATATTTATATTTCTATGTGACTCAGTCTCTGACATGGCTTTCGCAGGTGCTGTCTGTGGTTGAACACAAACTCCGAGCCAGAGTTTTGTTCTTGTTGGAACAAGGATTCCATGGACTGTGCGTGTATGTTTTAGTCTGAAAAAGAAAAAAGAAAAGAAGAAAAAAAAAAGAAAGAAAATAAACCAAACAGCATACAAATGTATATTATTAAAGAAAGAAAGAAAGAAAATGACGCACATGAAACCACTAGTATATCTGTGAAATGCCAAATTTATTTTAAAGAAACACAGGCCTGTTCCGTGTCTTATTATTATTATTACTAATATTATAAATGTTTTGCAACATAGAAAAAAATCTGAGCTACATATACCTATATACAAATGTTACAATAAGACAGCGGGCCGTGCAAGGGAGGTAACTGGAAAAAAATCTACTTTAATGCTCTCTGGCTTAATTTAACAACTGGCTGGTTGTTCCTACGCTATATTAAAATCTATATTTTAATAGTGCATCACTGTAATGTAATAATAATACTGTAGTTGTCGTAGAGGGTGTAGAATCAAGAGAAACGGGCTGCAGCCAACACTAAAGGCCTTTTTACAGCCTGTCACAGCAGCAAAAGTTCAGGTGTTACCAATAATATTAACTCTGGTGTCCAGTAAGATCTGACACTGTGTCAGTGAGCCAACATGATCAAGTGAAGCAGGTATGGATGTCAGTTGTGTTTCATTTTATGATTTACACCTGTGCGTTTACTCTGACATGTCACAGAAGAGTCTGTAATGCTTTTTGACTCAGCAGTCACTGTGCTCAGATTATGCTTTTTGGTGACAATAATGCTGCATTGAATTAATGTTATTAAACAAACCTTTACGCAGCTGCAACACAAATTGTTGCGTTATTAAATTGTGTCACCGGGGTTATTGGGTGATTGTTATTTTCTAAATAAAATTATAACCCCAATGACAGGCAGGAAAATCTGTTCTTAAGGTGCTTTGGTTTAACTTTAATCTTCTGAGTTCGTTCCACTGAGGTGGCGGAGAAAAAAAGAACTCCATGCCAGGTTTTGTTGCCTTTCCCTCAAATTAACTTTAATCGTAAAATATATAAAGCAGCTCCGCGCTGTCTCTCTCCCCACATACACACATACGAGCCAATCAGGCGCGCAATAACAGCCGACACGTATGCTGAGCGAGCGCGCACAGCGGAGAAGCGCCTGGCACACCGGAGCGCAGCGCGACGCAGCCAAACCGCTGTCTGTCATTAGCTGAGAGTGTGACAGAGGAGAGACAGAGGGGAGAGAGGAGCAGGAGGGAGGAGTGAGCGGTCCCGGTACACAGACACACCGGCCTGAGAGGACAGAAAGAGAAGAAGGAGAGCACCGGACCCCGTCAGAGAGAGAGAGTGTGTGTGTGTGAGAGAGAGAGAGAGGAAGAGAGTGGGAGACTGACAGGCGTTACCGAACCGAGGCGTCGACATGAGCGGTCAGTTTGAGGAAGATATCCACGACCGGGGCGAGAGGAAGAGCAGTAAATCCCCGACACTGCTCTCCTCTTACTGCATAGACAGCATTCTGGGCCGCCGAAGTCCCTGTAAGGTCAGACTGATCGGGACGCAAAGTTTGACGGGTCTGCCCGGCAGAGGCGAGCTCGACAAGGCGGCTGACGGTGAGTTTACTTTGGATTGAAATTAAAAAAAGATAGCCCATGTTGGTTATTTGAGAATGTTGTAGGGGGACAGGGACGTAACAAGTAAGCTCATTTAGACTGGAAGTGTGTAGATAGTGAGTGCTCAGGAGTTGCTTTCATGTAACCGGTAAGTGCGCACGTTTTACGCACAACAATCCCGTTGATTTGATGGAACAGTTGGCTTATAAATGTGCTTCGTGGACGAAACAGTCAGAATTAATTGCTTATAGCTCGGAGAAAGTCGTAAAATGTATTTATCCCATAGGAAAAAATTGAATTGCTTATTTAGTACCATTTTGTTATTCAATATTTTAACACCTTTCGTGCGCTTCTTTCTCAGGGCCAACGAAGGAGCCTCTTTCTCTCAGCGCTGACATGCACCTGCCTCCCAAGCTCCGCCGGCTGTACGGACCCGGAGGAAAGTACCTCCACGACCACGCAGAGAAGCTGGACAGAGAGAGGCTCCTCTTGGAGCAAGCCAGCGACTGCCTGAAAATCAGCCAGGCGCCGCAGGTGAGCATCAGCCGCAGCAAGTCCTACCGGGAGAACGCGTCACTGAGCCGGGGAGAGGACGACCAGAGCCCCGGGGAGGCCTCGGAGGACGGCAGTCTGGGACTGGTGGAGCTCGGCCCGCTGAAGTTCGAGGAGGACGCGGGCAAGGAGGAGGAGAGCTGCGGGGACGCGGCGGCGCTGTCCCCGAAGGACGAGGAGAGGGAGAGCTTGAACGCCGGGGATGGGGACGTGAGGGACGGGGAGGACAGCGTGTGTCTGTCGGCGGGCAGTGACTCGGAGGAAGGGATGCTGAAACGCAAGCAGAGAAGATACAGGACTACGTTCACCAGTTATCAGCTGGAGGAACTGGAGAGGGCTTTCCAGAAGACACACTACCCCGACGTCTTTACCAGGTCAGAAAAAATGACAGAAAAAAAAAGAATGAAAGATCAATTTTACGCTTGGAAAAAAAAAGAAAATTCTTTTTATTTATTTTTTTTAACCTCTGCTGAAATTATTATTGTTACAAATTTGAAACAATGCTGCATTAGCTTAGACCTTTAGAAATTAAATTGGGATAGACTTAGGCCTATAAATTTGAATTTAAATGTGCACATAAATCTTTAATAATTATATTATTCTATATTAATAATTCCAATATTATTTTTATTGTTAACATTGTTATGATTATAATTCTTATAGATGCAAGGTTTCAAAATAAACTTCAAGGAACGCACACAGACATAAAACATACAATAATAACCAGGTGTCCTACAGGTGATAATTAATTGTATTTATTTTTAAATAAACACTAACCCTCGTCTATAAAATTCCCCAGAAATAGTCCCAGTAATTCCCCACGTCTGTAACAGGACACTGTGCACATCCCAGCTCCAACACTAAACCCGTGCCTTGCATAAGTGAACACAATAGGCCTGTAAGTGTTAATACTGGAGGCGTTTTTATTATTATTATTATTATTTATTTTCCTTTTTTGTGTGTGTTGTCGTTGTTGTAACCTGTATCTGTTCCTGGTGATAAAAACGGGTGTTACTGTCAGAGGGAATAATTAAGTGGAGCAGCTCAAGTTACCTGCTGGACATGATACTGCACGCAAAAAAAAAAAAAAGTGAGGGCCTAACCTCAAGCCCAAGGGCAGGTGCACAAACACATACACACACACACTTCCTGAGTGAAATGCAGAGCTTTATAGGATTTAATTTTTTTTTTTTTTTTTATGATAGAAATGTTTTATTATTTGGAACATGCACCATTTTATATTATCTGCAAGGACACATTTTCTGCTACATTAATATTTTTGATAATTGCCACATCTGCTTTAAAATAAAACCCTTTCTCACACGACAACACACAAGAACCTACATTTTCACATTTCTTATACCACTGGGATTATTCATATTTTCCAATCGATTTACTTTAAGGCGACTTGTAGGTCTAATTTGGACTACAAGCCCATCTTGGAGCTGAAGGGAGCGTCAATTGCTTTGTGGCAGGCTACTTTAGATGTCATTATTTCAGCCATTATGTTGTTACAGTGACAGGCCTTTGGCTAAGGAAAATCTAACAATCACTAGGCCTATTTCTTTCCATCCGTGACAGGGAAAATAGAATATGGCTTATGGCGTCTTTCTGCAGTTCATGCCGGGGAGGAGAGAGGGGAGAAAGAGAAGGGGGAGAGAGAGAGAGAGAGAGAGAAAAAAAAAAATCAAGCCTATTTTGGTCGTCTATTGTTGACAGTGAACAACAGGAGGGGACAAAACAGCAATTCTGCGTTGCTTTCCAAATGGTGGCCTGTAACCTTGAATCTTTTCTTACTGTCTCTCTGCCTTTTCTCCCTTCCTCTTTCTTCCTTTCTTATTCTTTTCAGAGAGGAGCTCGCAATGCGCCTGGATCTAACCGAGGCCCGCGTTCAAGTAAGTGGCTCTATCTTTATCTTGAAAAGAGAAGACGTGTAAATCAAATAGAGGAGGAGGAGGAGGAGGAGGAGAAGGAGGAGGAGGAGAGGGGGGAAAGCAAAAAAAAAAAAGAAAAAAGAAAAAAAAGAAGCATCCATCCTCCATAAAATGTCCAGCGCTGGATAATAACCGGTGATATGCGTCACTGATTGAGGATCAACGATTACTGAGGCCAATTTGAGGCAATAATTTATTACAGTAAAATGTGTTAAATGGCCCCAGTCGCTGCGCGGGGAAGGTCTTTCCTGTTATTGAATGTTATTACACGCGTTTTAGTGGCAATTAAGGCGACGCTGGCGATTCATAAAAAGCGCACTTAGCGCACGGAGCAAACACTGTCTGTATTCCTGGGATGAGATGGTGTTTGAATTCCCATCAGTGGGGACAGATAGGGGGCGAGGCCGAGATGTGTGTGAGGGAGAGAGGAGAGGGGAGGGAGGGAGAGAGAGAGAGGGAGAGAGAGAGAGGGGAGGGATAATGCTATTTGATTTCCCATTATGTGATTGCAATAGACCTGCATTGATCCGATGCTTTGCACTTGGGAGCGAATGAGAGACCATTAAAGGTGTTTGCCCCCCTCATCCCTCTCTCTCTCTCTCTCTCTCTCTCCATCCCTCCCCTCTCCCTCCCCTCCCTCCCTCATTCTCTCCGCTTTTGCACTGAAAGCGTGGCTTGCATGTCGAAAGCGCGGCCTCATAACCAGAGAGACAGTTCAAACACGGTGGAAGCTCCAAGAGGTTATGGCCGACGGTAAAACAACAGATGTCTCTTTAGGGGAGGAGGGCGTGGGGAGGAGGAGGGGGGACCGTAGGTGAACAAATCACTTAACGGGCGCCATCAGGAGGTGATAAAAACTCATAAATTCCCGAGGGGCTGTGTAATGCTAAACAGCCCTCTGGGAATAATGTGCGAGTGTGTGTGCGTCTGTGTGTGTGTGTGTGTGTGTGTGTGTTCGCGCAATCCCTGTCGCTCAAGTGCGGCCCCGTTCAATCACTTTTCCACATGTTGACATTTTGCTCATTGTGCGTCCGCAGTGCAAACTGGGCAACAGTGGATGCGTGGGAAAGTTAAATACTCTCTTGGATGGAAGTCACTCGTTCTGCGTCTCTTAAGAATTTAATTTAAAGCGCATTAATTGTTATTGGAGCCAGTTCAGCGGTAATTTTCTGGATCTTTTGTTAACTCCGCTCTTAATTATCTTCTCCCCACCCCGAAGCCCCGTCTGAAGGGAAGGCAGGGAGGGGAGGAAAAGGAGGAGGAGGGGGGTTTAATTAGACAGAAAGTAGATTTAAAGGACCGTGAGCGGCAGGGTTTACCTTGCATGTAATTACCATTGACTTTCCGCCTGTTGGCCACCACCTGAACCAGACAACTATTAGACTACACTGACACAACATTCAGGATGTTAATGAGAGTGAAACATTGCTGTGCAGTAAGCAGGGCAGGGAGGGACAGACTGATAGGTTGGATGATTTGAAAAACCTGGGAGCATCTTTCTTCATCTTGTCACTTGAATCTGCTTCCTAACATGTATGTCTTCTTGTTTATATATGGGGGGAAAATCTCCCACTGATCCCTCTTTGCATCTTTTTCCTTCCCTCAGGTTTGGTTCCAGAACCGCCGGGCCAAGTGGAGGAAGCGTGAGAAGGCCGGGGTGCAGGCCCACCCGTCAGGCCTGCCATTCCCAGGCCCACTCACAGCGGGCCACCCGCTCAGCCACTACCTGGAGGGAGGCCCCTTCCCTCCTCACCCCCATCCTGCCCTGGAGTCCGCCTGGACGGCTGCTGCTGCTGCAGCCGCTGCCTTCCCGGGCCTGGCCCCACCGCCCCACAACGGCTCGGCCCCGCCGCTGGCCACACCGCTCGGCCTGGGCACCTTCCTGGGCACGGCTGCCATGTTTCGCCACCCTGCCTTTATTGGACCCACTTTTGGCAGGTGAGCCCCACAGGTGGACCACATATCTGTTCTTTACACTCATTCACATCTCATCCCATCTATGTAGGACTCTGAAACAGACAACAACCATCATGTTACAACAACATTGCAGTCAAAGCCATGTTCTGAAAAATGCACAGCAGCAGCAGCAGCAGCTTAAAATAAACTCCCAACACATCATGCCACTCTAATGAGTGATGTTTACAGTAATCCTGGTTCACACTCCCTCATGCTTATCTCAGTGTCTGATTATAAATATGTTATACCGTTAACCATTCGCAGGGGCGCGCAATCACTCTGTCAAATGCCTTAATAAATTAACCAAACGTGTGATCCTGCAAGACAAGCTGTGAGGAGGAGTGACACCGCACACTTCATATGCCATAATTAGCTTCTATATTATACAGCATTAATAACCGCGCTCTCTACATGTTATCTTGTATATGAGGGAAGTCAGCATGCAGTAGAACACCTATATAGGAGGAGGTTGAAGACTTAAGAGGAGATACAACCCAACTCTTCCGCTGCTGCCACACAGATAGCATTACTGCACACAGACAAGTTCATCTTGATTATGCATTTAGTGTAAAATGTAGTTACATGTTGGTCTTCTTCCAGGCTCTTCTCCAGTATGGGTCCCCTGACCAGTGCTTCCACGGCTGCAGCTCTCCTCCGTCAGCCCGCCCCCCCTGTAGAGAACCCCTCCCATGCGGGCCCCGTCCTCCCCGACCCTTCCTCCTCTTCCTCCTCCTCCTCTTCTTCAGCTGCAGCAGACCGCAGGGCCTCCAGCATCGCCGCGCTGCGCCTCAAGGCCAAGGAACACTCGGCTCAGCTCACCCAGCTTAACATCCTGCCCACCGGAGCCGCAGGGAAGGAGGTGTGCTGAACACTCAACACCAGCTCTAGGCCTCCCTGTTCTCTCCCCCACCCCACCCTCACCCACCCACCCTGGGGCTTATGTCCCATTCCAATACATCCTATCCTCCCCTCCCACACCTGTCTCTCTATCCAAAAAACCCCACTCATACCTCTGGAGGCCGATGTCCTGATGTACCCCTGTTCATCCCTGTTACCTCACATTTCCCCAACAAAATAGCACGACCAAATTCAGAGGAGCACTGGTTTAAAAGAAAAGAAAAAAAAAAAAAAAGGTGTGTGTGTTTGTGTGTGTGAGATGATCGCAGCTAGTTTTACACGACATACACACACTTTCCTAAAAGGCAGTCCATTAAATTCAATAATTTACACATTTTTTTTTAGTTAAAAACAATCGAAATACTATAAGATGTAGCCTGAAAGCTTTATTTCTTGACAGATTACACGTGAATTTTTCTTTTTGACAAAGGTGATATATATATAAATGTACAGAAATGTCTTTACGAGTTCGTAGGACGGTGTGCATCACACAGCAATATTCCACACATCACCAGTGGAGGGACGCGACAATGTACATTTCCTGAAATGCTGAATTTGAGCACAAACAAAAGCTGTAACTTAAACTAAAGACAATTACTTCCGTTTTTAGTTCACTACATTTCAAAGGCAATTATTTTACTTTTTATTTCCTATCTTTCAAAATTAAGATGTTAATTTTAAAAAAAGAAAAATCCAGAGGAGCTTAGAAAACATACAACATGTAAAATTTAACGCTCCATCACGATTAAATAATCACACTTAGAGGCCAATTTTCTGCATTGACTGCTCTCACTTTTGATAATATTTTGCTTAAGTAATATTTAAAGCAGGATTTTCCTTTGAAACAGTGTGGTTTGGATATCCGACTAAAGGGTCTGTCATAGGCGCACACACACACACACACACACAAACACACACATGCAGTGAAAGCTGAAGAACCGCAGGGGAACTTTTAGAAAGGATTCTTGTGCTACTTAAAATGTGGACAACACGAGTGCTCGACATTAACACTGCTTAATCTGTATGCATTGATGTGGGCTGAGCCAGTCTGCATCTATAACAAAGGCGAGTTGGAGGAGGTCCCCCCCCACCCCCTGAACCAAAGGAAAACTGTCCATAGACCTTCCATAGCCTTCTCTGCAAGCCTGTCTCATCTCCACTGCTCGCCTGTCCAGCAGTCACACTCAGCTGCACCACTGCAGAAATATATATATATGTGTTTAATACGTCTGGATGAAACCAGAGTTATTCGAGGCTGTTTGAATCCACATCAGTGCAAGATTTCTGTACATTTCTTGCAATTTGCGCATTTTCTCCCCCCTCCTCCCTACCAGTCCCTCTTTTTTCCTCTTTGATTATTATCACAGCAGTGGCCCTTCAGCTGAGTCTGACTCCTGGACTAGCGATCAACGCCGAGACCTGAGACTTGTCTGACTGTGTGAAAGAAAACTGTACATATTGTGTAAAAAAAAAAAGGAGAAGAAGAGAGAAAAAAAAAAGTACAACAACAACAACAAAAAAAAAGGATGATTTTCAAAACAAGGTCGTGTATATTTCAAGAGACCGTGTTTTGATAATTTGCACTCGGTGTAGTGTTTAATGAATGTGTAGAATTTCACCTGTGTTTATGAATTATTAGGTTTTTAGATAATTATTTATGTCAAAAACTTTTCCCAGAAGAAATGAGTGAAGGACAGTTCTTTTTTTTTCTTTTCCTTTTTGTTTTTCTTAAGTGATTGTAAGTTTCCTGGTTTAATAATGCTAATTTGAATAAATTACATTGGTAAAATGAGTTATCTTTTATTATTTCAAATTCCTTTAGGACTGACATAGGCCTAAACCAGGAAAAAAAATAAACAATGCGAAATAGAATATTATAGAACTATTAATAAAAAGGTGTTATGGAAAAAAATGTGCTTTCTGTCTTACATTAAAAGATTAATTTTGCAATGTGGAAATCTTTGGAGCAAAATTATGTTGTTTTGTTTTTTTTTTAAATATATATAGAGGATTTATTTCAACATTACTGACTGAATAGTTTAGTGGAATGTGAATAAAAACCCATTAAACTTCAGTAACAGGTTGCCTGATGTTCAAGGAAACAAAAGAAGGAGGAATTTTATGGCTGCACAGGCTCCACCTGCAAAAAAACGTATTAAAGGCAGCGCGCTGCGTGCGTCTCTGCTCCTCAGCGGAGTTGACAAAATACTGACCATATATTCATGAGCTTAATCCCCCAACATGTGAAACGCGCGACAAAGGCGAGGGGTTTTCAATTAGATCGCCCACTTTATCTCGGGGAGGCCCGTCACAAAACTTCCTTTAAGACCCTTTAAAGGCGCTAAATTGGTCTTAACATCTGTAATGCCGTGTCGATGGAAGCGAGTCCCCTTTGTCATTAATGAAGTAACAAACCACTTCATCAAACGGCTTTCACACACAACCTCGTAGAGTTAATTCTCTCT